ACTGAAGGGATGCTTATGGAATAAGTCAAGTAGGTTTTACACTGTCTTAATGTCCTAGGGCTGCCCTAAGTAAGAAAGAATCACAAGCTGCATAGCCTACAACAACAGAAGTTTATTCTTTCACAGTTCTAGTGAACAAAGTCTAAACTCATGGCGTCAGCAGGGCCCACCCTCAAAAAGTTCTAGAGGAGAATCATTCCTTGCCTCTTGCAACCTTGCTGGCTCGTGGTGTTTTGGCTTGTGGAAACATAACCCCGATCTCTGCCTATGTCTTCACACAGCCTTCTTCCCTGTGTAACCAAATCTCCTTTCCTTTCTCTCATGAAGCCATGAGCACTGGATTTAGGGCCCACACTAAATCTGGAATAATTCCCTCTTGAAATTCTGTTTACACCTGCAAAAGACCCTATTTACAAATAACATCACATAATGAGGTTCTGGGTGGACATAATACTGGGGACACATTGCTAGCTCCAATAATGTGGTGAAAGTTAATTGGGGGACCTATCATTAGAATAATTTTAAGGCTAAATTCAGGATTAGTAGGAAAAAGTCCAGGCTCATGAGAAAGGCGTGGGAAGCGGATGCACATTTGTCAGGCTCTTGTCATCACTATTCACGTGTCTGTAAGGGAACAGACTGGAAGACCAGTCAGTGCCCAGGAGGACTCGGTGGCAAACTTCTATTAGAACAAAATCCTACTGATTTAAAATCCAATGCTCTTTCCACCACATAATTTAATAAACTTTACTCATCTCAACACCTTTTCTAGATATTATTGGTAAAAATATAAATAAAGGAGCTTCAAAATTGCTGACACCTTAATACTCATGTTATTTCAATTGCTCAGATTAGAATACTTAAGAACCATTTGGCTGACTTTCATTTTCAGCTCTGATGGGGTAATTGGTATAACACTAACCTTTCACCTGAGGACAAAGTAAAAGCTGGATAAAGTTTAAAAAAACATTTGGGAATCTTTGAAGAGTTAGTATATATTAAGGAAAGTATTAGTAGTAAAAAAAGAAGGACATTTCCTGATAAAAATATACCTTTAGTATATTTTTTAAATAAAATTAAGAGGTCACTTAGACAAATCCATATTCATAGTTGGAAGTTTTAAATAACGTGTTTCTCATAAATATCATAAGCAGATCAGAAGGCAGTAAGGACATAGAAAATACAAACAAGGTTGAAAAACCTAACATATTGATATACAGAACCATTTACCTAATTGGTAAAAAAGTACTTTAAAAAACAGTGAACATAGGGTATTACCACCATTGACTAAATGCTTAGGCCATAGAACAAGTGAACACAAATGTCAAGGGACTGGAGTTTCTTAGACTGTGTCCTGACTGCAGTAGAATCAGGCACAAATGGACCATGAAAAATATAATAGAAAAATCCCCCAAATATTCTCTTAACCACGAGTAAGAAAAAATTGCAGTAAAAATTAGAAAATATGTTTAAATAAATAGTGACGAAAATACTACATATTCAAAATTGTGAGATACAAAAAATATGACTTGCAGAATATAGCTAAAACAGTCTGTGGTGGCACAATGAGAGCTTTAAATGCACAAGTTAGAAAAACAGAAACAGCCCTGGCTGGTGTAGCTCAGTGGATTGAGCACGGGTTGTGAACCAAAGGGTTATAGGTTCCATTCCCAGTCAGGTCGCACGCCTGGGTTGCAGACCAGGTCCCCAGTAGGGGACACATGAGAGGCAACCACACATTAATGTTTCTCTCTCTCTTTCTCCCCCCTTCCCCTCTCTAAAAGTAAATAAATAAAATCTTTAAAAAGAAAAGAAAAGCAGAAACACTTAAAGATTAGTAAGCTATACTTTGATGTTAACAAGCTGGGGGGGCATGCAAATTAAATTGAAAGGGAGTAGCAAGAAGGAAATAATTTTTAAATGGGAAAAAATAATGCACATAGAAAAAAATCAACAAATGCCAAAGTTCATTCATCAAAAAACATAAGTATTGATAAAATTCTAACAAAAATGATCAACAAACAAGAAAAGGAAGAGACACAAATAAATAAAATCAGAAGTAAAAAACACCCTACAGACGTTAAAAATAAAATTAAGGGAATATAATGAACAACTATATACCAATACATTTTAAAATGTACATAAAATCAGCAAATTCACTGAAAAATAATGAATTAAAACTGACCCAAGAAGAAGTAGAAAATATGAATAGTGCTCTATTAAAGAAATTAAAATTCTGCCCTGGCTGGTATAGCTCAGTGGATTGAGCAACAAGCCTGCGAACCACACAATCGCGGTTCGATTCCCAGTCAGGGCACATGCCTGGGTTGCAGGCCAGTTCCCAGCAGGGGACGCACAAAAGGCAACCATACATTGATGTTTCTCTCCCTCTCTCCTTCCCTTCCCCTCTAAAGATAAATTAATAAGATATTTTTTAAAAAGAAATTAAAATTCTAGTACAGATATTTCCACAGTATAAACTCCAGGCCCAGATGGCTACATCAATGATTTCTTCCTAATATTTAAGAAATAATAGCAATTGACCACGAACTCTGCCAGGGATTAGAAATAGAGGGAAGACCTGTCCATTTATTTAATGAAGCCAGCATAAATTTTGAGACCAAATCTAACAAAGATATTACAAAGTATTATGGGACACCATATCACACACATCCTAAATTTGGCTTAGGGCAGGTGAGACTGGCATGTGGGTCAAGGCTATGACAATGATTTCCTTCACATTTCCCTCATTTTACTCTTCAGAACAAGAGTGACCTTGTTCTTTGGAGGAAGAAAAGGACTGTGTTTACTGGAAAGAAGGCAATACAGTAGGAGAGGTACCCTTCCGAAGTCACATATATTTATTAAATCCTGCCAGGGAAGGATGCCCCTTTTTTCAAAATTCACCACTGTGCTCTGTCGGCAGGTCTCCAGCCCGAGCGTGTGGTGACTGAGTGAAATGGAAGAAGTAGAAACACAGGTCACATACTGTGAGTCACTCCTGCTCTGCCATTTGTTGACGAGGTGACACTGGGTAAGCTTCTCTGTCTCTCTGAGCCTTAGTGTTTTCACATAGAAATAATGGGCTATTAGTATGTATCTCAAGGTAGTGAAGTGCATTAAATGAGATAATAGGTGTGAGACTGCCTAGCACAGATTCTGGCATGTCAATTTCATATGTACACATAGGGAGACAGATTTTTTGAAGCTGAAGATACTGTCTGCGTTAATTATTTACAGGACTCGTGCCACATAAAGTCACTATTGTCTACCTTTTTATGTCTTTTTTTTCAATTTTAAGTTTTTTTATTATGGTAAAATATACATATACAATTTATCATTTTAAGTTATTGTTCTATGCCACTAAGTATATTCACTTTTAATATATATTATATTATGATATATTAATATCATCTATATTAAGAGTAATAAATACATGCCCTTAAAAGATTACCATTTATTGTTGCAGCTACTTATGTCTGTTTGTACATCAGATACAGGTTGGCAGAATACATACGGTGCCTCTTACAATACACTAGTTAGATGATGAATAAACTACTTGGTGGGGGAGTGGCCAGTGGGGTCTGATAATCCATAGGAGTGCTCTAGGTACTCCACAAATCAGAGAAAATCCTTCTGCTGAGTTACCTTGATAAAAGTGCTCTGGGGTGGATCAGAGTAAAGTGAGTCATGAAAGTGGGTTTGACTCACGAGAGTGCAATACGGATGCAAAGACTGAGAATCAGTAACCAACACTGGGCTTACATTTCCTCACTTACACCACACCTCCTGTGACCTCTGTATTTAAAATAACCTTACAAAGAAATGTGCTTGCCTGGAATTCACCTTCCTCATATTCCTGCAAGGAAAATTGTTATGTAGAGTTTAAAATCATACATTCATTCATTCAAAAAATTGTATGAATCCCTTAAAATGCCTGAAGTACTGTGCTAGCACCAGGGTTCTGATGGTGAGCAGAATCAGAACGTGACCTCATCCTTCTGTGCTCAGCCACTACACAGTGTCCCTGTAAAGCTTTCTCTGGTGGCCCTTTCCCTAGTACTCAAAGCTCTGAGTGTCCACATGGTATTAGAGAAAAATCTATGTCTTTACAAGGCAGTCTGGCAGTCAGCTCCTCAAGGGGCAGGCCTGGGTCAATTCATCTTTTATTTCCTAGTGTGCACCTCAGAGCTAACACATAGTACAGCTCAATAAATGTTTGTTGAATGCACCATTCATTATTTATGAGGCCTTGGTACAGTCAAATCTGTTCAATGATTCCGCTAATAAATATCAGAGAAATGAAAACAACCACGCTCAGGAAAATTACATATTTTTTAGATATTCCTTGTTTTTTCTCTATTTTGTCAGATTTTATTAACAGTCCTAGCACCTACTTTAAAAATGCCTACAGAGCTACTTTATTTTTAAAGAGATGAGAAGTATAAATGTAGGTAAATATGCCCAATTGTCCTTTTCAGGTTTAAAATCATGAGAATTCTTTTATGCAATGAAATAAGCTTCCATTTAATTGGAAATACTTATGTGCATGAATGATTTAATACATCATCAAATTTGTTAGGTTTCTATACTAATTAACAATATTCCTCTAGAAATGGCAGAAGGCATTCATAGAATTTGATATAGCAATGCTAAAGTCTGGCACATCCTCCAAATAGAGATAACATTGTTTATTTAAAAACACGTGGCACAGATATAAAACGTTCCTGAAGCTTACAAAAATGTGCTGAACTGTCCTTAAAGAATGAAAAAAGAAAGCCTGTCATTATTTGTGCCACAAAAGGAGAAGCTGCCATTCTTCAAGTAGTGCTAAGTGGGCTCTTGGAGGCTTCAGCAGCAAAAATATCAAGGGGACTTTGGAGATAAAAGGATGTAGTTTCCATCTATTTATTCTCAAATAATTAAAATGTTTAGCCTTTAATCATCATCTAAAAATCACATGTGAAAGGACTAAAGAGGGAAAGTATGAAGGTACCTACTTGGTCTGATGTTTAGATCCTTTCAGGTGGGCATGATACTGTTCTATTGAGTTTAGAGAGACACTGCAGATGGTACATCTGTAATTGCGCCTCAGACCTGTGGACAACAGACAGACCCGATTAGCTGCGTGCTTGTCCTCACCCCCCTGAATGAACCCAAGAACCTCCAAAAGTTCAGGCTCACAGCATCTTACAGGTTATCTGGTCCACCCCACCAACACTTCTACCCCTCCTCCCAGAGCCCAGTCAACAGGTCTCATAGAAGAAGTATTACAACTGTGAATTATGCTAGAAGCTGCCTGCTTCATTTACGGATGACTTACATTATTAGAACATATTTTATTGATGGGAAATGTTTCTGGAAATGTTGTAACCCTAGCAAAGAAGCAGTCTCCTTTTTCTCAAGGCAGACAGACATGGTAAGTTGTCACATCTGCATGAAACTTGAGACTCCAGAGAAAACCTGTCTCAGTTTTTCTTCCACCACTACTCCAATGGCAGAATCAGAAAACAGTATACATATCACTCATTTGGGTTCTTCTTCCAGGACTATCTTATAAAATGTAAACATTCAGAAGGATCATCTGTTAATCTAATTCACATGAATGCTAACTTTCCACCAGAGAGTTTAAAAGAAAGCTATCTATTCATTTGTTCATTCATTTAATTACTTCATTAATAGACTATCAACTTTGGACCAGGCACTGGGAATTCCAAGATGAATAAGTTGCTCTTTGCTTCAAGAAGTTTAGTAAAAACCTGATTCCTTTGTAATACTGACTCATCTAGAGTCAAGCATGTTAGAAAGCAGCTTTAACCAAACAACCTTAAACATCTGCCACAGCTCAGAGACCTACAAAGGAACATATTCCTTCTGCTGTGTGTCCCACCAGGGCAGAGAGAGAAGTAAACTCATAGTCAAGATGTGAAACTTCAGATCTAAATTCTGGCTTCAATTATTTCTGGTTGTATGATCTAGGGAAAGTCACGTAATTTCTTCCTGGTCCCAGTTTCCTTCATCTGCAAGATGAAGACAAGACCATCTGCATTACAAAGTTGTTGTAAGAATTAAGTCAATAAGATATATTAAAATTCTTAGCAAGTGAGAGTTGTTTTTATTAATTCTGCTCCCAAATCCAATGTCTTATCATTGTAAAAAGCAAGGCTATTAAGCAGCTGTAGCATTTTTTTCCTGATGAATGCATAGTATTTTCTTTCTAAGAGACAAAGTTCTTATTTTCTTAAAAGGAATAAAATGCACAGAGTTGGAAGAATTTTACAACCTGCTTACCTGGGTGACTTCATACAAATTATTTGACTTCTCTATAGTTCTGATTTCTTATATGATTGTGGGGGAAACAGAGTGAGATAAATCATGTATGAGAGTGTCTGACACAGAGCAAGTAATCAACATAAATAAACTATTATCACAATTTCAAAGAGATGTTCAAATGCAACTCTTTCTGTCCCAATGTCCCAGATGAAGCCCTAAGACATGTATGCTAACTATACCCACATTGCTAAAGTGAATAGGAGAGCCCCAGTTCAGGGCATTCAAAGGAAGTGATCAAGAACCAGTTTCCAACCCCAAGATGATCATTCACCTCCAGTCTAAAACAGAAATAGAAGAAAGAGGTAGGGAACTTCTGAAAGGGAGCCATACATTACTGTGAGTTTTACTTATCCTCCTCCATGTGAGAGAACTTACCCTATGGGGGTAGTTCTCTCTCACCTGTAACCTATGGGAAAAGGATTCAATGGACTATCTAGAGAGCTTGAAGGCATGCCTTCTTGTACCTGGGAAGAAGGTTCTTGAACACTAAACCACCTGTAAGATCCAAAGCCCTAGAGACCATGGCTCTTAGCTACTCTGATAGCAAAGAAAGAAAGCACAGCCTGTATTCACAGAGCTTGTCAGAGTATAAAATATGTGGAAGTCCCCATAGCCCAGGTGTGTACCATGTATGAGAGGAGCTGGTTTGGAGATGTCTTAGATGCTGGAGTTGAGGGCAAAGAGACCTCAAAGGAAAGATGCTAGAAGTGTTCAGCTGGAAATCCAAAAGGTCGACATTATCAGAAAGGACATATTTAGCTCAGATCAACTGAAAAGGCCAAGAAATCCTTCCATGAGAAGTCAGTTTGCAGCCCCTGCCAAGCCAAGCACGATCTTTGCCAACTTTGTATATGTATCTATGAAGTAAACCTTAATCCCCTTTGCCTTTCTCACTTGATACACTGAATCCCTCAGCCCTGGAGGAACCTGAGGCAATCTGCCAAGGTAAAGAAAGAAAAGCAAAATCCTTAGAAGAAAAGCAAAAGCCCCAGGCAGAGAAAAAGAGAGCCTACCTGCTCAGGCAGCCCAAGCAGAACTGAGCTAAGGAAGGGAAAAACTAACTTTTAATAAAGGTAGATGATAGTTAAAAAATATTTTCTATCCTGGATATGTCAGTTAATGACAGAGAACTTGTACGTATCTAGAAATAAAAGTAAAGAAACCTTTACTGCTTCAAAATGAGTGAAAATTCATTAAACTTACTCCAGTTTTAATCCAAAGGGGAGGAAAAAATTAACCCCACAGAGAGTTTGAGAGGGCAAGAGTAAGGTTACTTTCTGATTACATTTAATGAATCTCACTGAATGTTGCAGAATCGCTCTTATGCTGATAGTGTGGCAAAGAACAGAACTTTAAGAATACTGTAAAATTTTTATGGCCCAATGCAGGTTTCTGAAAAAATCTATTTGATGTATCATATAATAAACTGGATTGGCCAGTGGAAAGACTGGCTCATTGTTTTACTTTCAATCACATAATTAGACATGGATATCCCTAATTGTTCAATTAAGAGTCAATTAAGTTATATTCAGTTATAGGGGGAAAAAATGAAACCACAGATCTCTGGGACCTTCTTAGGAAGCAATCTAAGGGACTCAAAATTTCCAGGCAAAGACTGATGATTCAGAGATGAAATAGACAACTGTTGACTCTCTATTCCCTCAAGCGATGACTCTCAAAGCGATGATCCACACTTCTCAGTGTAGATACAGCCACTAGTGATCATGCTAAAATGTAGACTCTCAGGCACAACTTCTGGAGATTCTGATTATATAAGCTTTGGAATGGGGCCTGGGAACAGACGAGTTTCCAACTTTTAACCCCAACCCCCCAAATACACACACACTGTATAAGCTACTGCCCCGTAGACATCTTTGCCTTTTGGTAACATCAATCTGCCAGAACAATAGTAGGTCTTTAAAAAAATATTATTCAATAAAAGAGAGCTGTGCTCCCATGGCTTTTGCATTGCACAGGTGTGCATGATTCAGAGAGATTACTGTGGACCCCAAGCCCAGAGGCTGTACGTTATCACAACAACTGTGCACAGGAGTTTTTCGAATTCTTATCTCCTCTTTTATGCAACACATCAAAATATGAAAACCAGCTTCAGGCCTCCTTCCCTCTGCAGTTCTCCATCAATCTTGTCATAATAAATGATAACTACTTTCTATATGGGTCCTCTTCAGACTACAGACCAATCAAAGCCCTCCTTAATACAAACTCAGGTTCAGCTTGGCAACAGGCATAAATATTTATGTTTAAAAACAGGCACTTTCAACATCACCAACAAATCTAAAAAAATATTCTGATCTGTTGCTTTTCATTACAGTTCTCATGCTCTGCAGCCAAAGGGAGGCGTGGGCAGGAAATATTTGGCACTTTATTGCGATGCAGACTACAGGGAGTATAAACTAGAAAGGCAGTGCATATAAACAAGAACAAAGGCAGCAAAGGGGCAGGGGAGTCCTCCCCCACACACGACACAGTGTCCTTGGTGGGAACTTAGGGCTTTATTAATGCTCCATTGAAATCCAAATTGCTTTGAATTTTATAGTTCTCTTTTCCTCAAAGAAATAGAAAGTCTTATTAAACAAAAAAGGTAACTTTCCTATTTAATTCATTTTCAGTGCAATACCATATTAACAGTACCTAAAACCTTTGCAGACCTAAAGGTTGTATCTGCAGGATTTCCAATATGTGTTAGGAAATACAGTCTCCACCTGCAAGGATCTGACAGACGGTAGTAGAGAGAGAATATATGTATACAAAAAGCAACAGTGTGAAGGTAGATCATAAAAAGTACCACAGTCAGGATGAGCAGGATGAGTAGAGTGTTATGGGAACTAGAGGAGGAGATTGTTTCTAACTCAAAGAGGCTGAAAAATCTTCTTGAAGATGCATTGCTTTTGTACTTACATCCCTGCACACAGTGTGTAGAACAGATGGTCCTGGAGAGTGGAGCAGTATGTGATTACTCTGTGTGCCTTTTCAAGTCTAGCAAAGCTAGACTTTAGATGTCCCTGCAACTTTAGTTGCATCCATTCTACATTAGAGAAGCATCATTGTGCCTTTATTATGATGTCAGTTATTTCACTGAATGCCAAGAATGTAGGAGGGAATAAAACAGAATAAAATTCTTTATGGAGCTAGTCAGGCAGGAACACAAGAAACTAGTAAACAAATAAAAACATGATTAAAGATTGTGAAAGCGTCACACAGGATGTAAACAGGATAACGAGAGAGAAACAGGGAAGAAGGGTGATTTTTGATAGTATGGTCAACAGAGTTCTCTGAAAAGTGTGATATGAAACCAGAGGGATGAGAAGCAAGCTGTGACAGAAGAATTAGTTCAAGAGTTGTCTGGGGTGAGTAAACAGCAAGACAGAGAGCCAAGAGTGGAAATGATCTTGGTTTGTTCAAGGAAAAAAAGGTGGTGAAAGAAACAAACTAAATTAAACAAAACTGTCAACTCAGAATTCTATCTACAGCAAAAATATCCTTCAAAATTAAAAGTACAATAAGAAAGTTTTCAATACAAACTAAGAGAACAGTTTTCCAGCAGACATATATCACAGAAATGCTTATAAGGTCCTTAAGATGGGTAAATGGCACTGGCTGTAAACTCACATGCACAGGACAATGTGGAGAACCCTGAATGATCAATGTGTAGGTATCTACATTCTTATCCCTCTAAATTTATCTGAAGACAGTGAATAATTTTAATGCAATGCTGACAATGAATTGTGTATTGTGGTATTTTT